ACACACACACACACACACACACACACACACACACACACACACAAAACAACATATGTTTAATATAAAACAGTGTTATGATGAGACGCTGTACCCAGCAGGAGTAATTTTCATCTTAATAATGATTATTTTTTCCTTATAAAATCGTATAATCTGAAAATCTACCTTTTACGTTTTTCAAAATTTTCTACTTTTATTTTTATTTAATTGTCTAAATTAAATGATGTCTGAGCAGACCTAAAACTTCTTAAAGACACATTGTGAAGAAAAAGGTGTATTTTTTGCACAAGTTAAGCAACTCTAACTACTTAAAAAGCAATAGTTTAGAACATTTCGAATAAGATTATCTAAAAATAATATAAACAGTAAATATCTTACCTGTTGTATATAGCTTTTTGAACAACCTAAGTTTGGAAAATAGATTTTTGCCAGACTTACAAGTTAATGCTTTCTTAAAACAACTCCAGCTTCAAAGCTCTTATAGCAACTTATACAAACTCAAAAATGTAAACTTTATCATCAGTCATTTTAGGTGATTGGCAACAGGAATATAATTTACCTGCTGGAAGGCTGCACAGGAAGTGCTTCTGCTACCAGCTATTTGCACATATGAATAACCACAAAGTTTGATTTAAAAACTATTTAATGCATTTAGCAGACACTTTTATCCAGAGTGACTCATGAGGATTTATCAATCAGAACTACTGTYGGTTGGATATTAGGACACGTCTTATGTCCACAGTGATAATATCTCAGGTCACACTTGTTGACTTATATTACCTCTGACCTTAGCCTCAAGTAGGATTTCTTAACTCTTCTTAAACAATATTCCAAGAAAGTTCTGGAGAAAATGAAGCGTTCAAAGAAAAATATTGTACACCTCAGCAAGACGAGTGAGTTGAGACATTTTGTGGATTCTTTGTTGATTCAGAGGCTTCTGGAGGAGACGAGAACTGTGGTCAGACAACTCAGTTTGGGTTTTGAGGGGGGGAAATGAGCAATGAGTACAGAGGCACTGGTGTAGTTTTCAAATAGACATTAAAGAACACATTCAGTCATTCAAGGATTTATACGGAATTTTTGATGCCTTTGTTACTAATAATGATGTGGACAAAAAATGTAAACAACACCGTTTGAAATCATATTGGAAAATGTTCCCCTTTCAGTGATTTAACTAAAATCCTCTTGCTTGTAATCTTCCTCCATGACTGAGAATCTTCAAGCATTTTTAGAGAATATCCAGATATCCAGCAGTCCCTCTAAAACATTTTGATATAAATTAATATTTGATCAAATAATTTAATCCAGTGAAAACTGAGTTTATTCAATATTTTTAACAGTGGCACCTTCAAGTCAAGATCGAGCTGGGGATGTGTGTTTATTGCTGTATTTGTCAAATAATCTTTACATGACATCATAAATCTCCTGAAGTTTGGTTCTGGTTTTTGGCTTTTGGATTTTGCACCAGCTGAAAATGTAAACAAATCTTACAATTTTGGTCCCCAATCGAACCGAGTTTACCGGACTATCAGGCGTGAATACGATCTAAGTCAATAGAAAAAAATAAAAGTAATTCCACACATATTGAGCTAAAATTTGATGTGGTAGTAGCTGAGAGTCATTCACAACTTACCAGTACTCTGAGTGATCATATTGCTATAAATCTGCCTGTTCTCCACACAAAATAATCTTAGAGTAAAACTGTTGTGAAAGGCCTTTAACCTAATAAGAGGCTGTTGCTCCGGTGTCCTCTCTATCACCCTCTTTACTTTTCCTGAGAATTCCTTCAAAAAAAAAAAAA